TGATGGAAGCAGCACAGCTGATGTTTCTCTCCAGGATGGCGTCACAGCCAAACAGGAACAGACGAGGCAAAGCTACTATGAGAAAAAGCAGAGAGAGCAAAACATTATAGATTGAACAAACAGATTCTGCAGAAAGAACCTTTTGATTTTTTAATGGTTTCCATGATACATTTAAACATCCCCCAGGTCAGAATGACTCTGGAACATCACCAGTGTTCTCGGAAAGGAATAACTACCAAAAAGTAAAATCCAGACATTAACAAATGTAAAGCATTTGGTGAAGCATAAGCATCAGTTGCCACCAATGTAATTATTTGAGGTGTTGCCTGTTGACCATGTTTCAAGGATAAGTGGGGTGCAGCAAAGTACGGCACACCTTTAAAATTGGTTCAGTTTCCTTTTTGACAGTACTTTTACTTTATTAAGGAAAAATAGGTCAGTACTGATAAATATCTGACACACAAAAGTGCTCTACTTCATCTGGTTATATTGGCTAAGTCTAAGTGCTGTTTATGGGCCAGAAAAAGATTGATATCTGAATTTAATAACCTTAAACGAATGTTTTAACATTCAGCAATTTGAAGAGGAAAAAAACTGCTGTTTGTTTGTACTTAGTGTTATATAGCAAGAGTAATGTGTTTTCAGCTGAGATTAAAAGCACCCTCTATAAATTACACTGGTATTTTGACTAAAGCAAACTCATTTAAGGCTTCACATGATTCACAAATTTAGATCAAATCTACGATGAAAATTCTACTCTAAAGTCTGTTCCCTCCTTAAAAATTTATTGAAAGGGTATTAAGCAATCATGAGATGACATCCCTTCAAAATATGAAACTAAGTAGGACACTTAAGCAGGATCTAAGGATTTTATTGGTGAAAGCAAGCATACATGTAGTTTCCAAAAAAAAAAAAAAGATTAAAATTGTCAAAAAAAAAAGTAATTGGTTTCAAATACCACAATTCTACATCCATCAAAAAAAGTTGTCACCTTATTAACTTAGGGAAAAAAAAAACATAAAAACAGCTCAGTGGAAACAGTTAACTGCACTTACTGCTATTAGTCTGGGATTTAATTCTTAGAGCAAAAGAAATTAAACTCCTTTAGATCATTCATTTTCCTCCACTTATGTCCTCCTCGTGTCTCCATGGCTCCAGACATGTCACAGTCATCCACTGGTTCCCCTGAGGCCCAGTTCTTATACCTGACCACCTCATCACTGACCCAGAACCAGAAATCCAGAGTACAGGCGTAGTGCAGTCCCATCCAGACATAATCAGTGGAGGCCTTCTTGGCTTTCTCCTGGATCCATCTCTGCTCATCCAGGCTGGTGATGGTGACCAGGTCATGGTAGTGATCTCTGCAGTAGTATAAGGCATCCTCCCAGTTCATCTTTTCTTTAATCAAGATCAGTTTATCTAATTATAAAAACAATAAATAAATAAATAAGTGTTTGTTAGAGCCATAAACAACAACTATTTAAGTTATTGTAATATTTAGAATGTTTTTTTGCGATGCCCTTTTTCTTTCATTTTGTTGTAGGGTTAACGTCAGTACAGGTATATTTTATAGTGAAGTTTACTTTTATGTTGAAAGGCTTATTTCCTTTCAACATAGTTTTTTATTCTGTAAATGAATACAGACTGCAGGGGGATTGTACAGCATGGATTTACACAGTTTTTGACAAGGAAAAGTTTTTTTTTTTTTAAAGGAAAGAATTTGTCGGTCACTTTTTTGTATGACATACTGTATTTCTTGGATAATGAGTTTTTGGATAAACTTCATGGTTTTCCATGCATCCTTTACTTATCCAGGACACAGATATTGGATCTGTTGCCATAACAGCGTCATTTTTAGGCTTTTAAGCTCTGAAATTAATTATAAAATGCTTTCTAAAAACAACTACTAAAACAAACACATAAAAAACACATAAAAACAAAAGGCGATAAATACTTTCAAAACTTTTTTCTTCGTTTGAATTGATAAACAAAAAGCAGTTTTTTATTTTTTATAGTAACAACTCACCATCATAACAGATGAATGGTTTTTCCTCAGTGCAATCCTTACTCTTCCATCTGCCTTCATCATCAATCCCAGCAACAGCACATTGACCAGTGTTGTATCGCTGATTGTTTAACCGGTCATTCCAGTGTCTGAAAGAGAAACTGCTTCCATCTGACCACCTCCAGGTGTCTCTGAACAGACCAAAGTATGTTTCACT